TCTCGCTAGCCTGTGCATACACCCCAAACCCTAAACCCTAAACCCTAAACCCTAAACCCTAGAGTATAACAGCAACATATCCCGCAGCAGTTCATGGCGCTTTATCCCTATTCGCGGTGGTGTGGATTGTTGCGGTGTACGTGCAGCTGAGGTGTATGTAGAGCTGCGGTGTATGCAGAGCGTATATGAATTGCTAACCAACAGTAAACAAGAAATTTATTTAAAACACATTACCTCCTCTCTGCATGCAATCAAAGCCTCCAGACGCCGCACAAGATGCACAACTAACTCGCCGTCTGCTGGCAGCTGCTGCAGCTCCCAAGTAACGCAGGCAAGACTTCCTGCTGTTGCTGTTGCTGTTGCTGTTGCTGCTGCTGCTGCTGCTGTTGTTGCTGCGCAGGAGGAGGAAGATGAAGAGGAGGAGCTGCTGGTGGTGGTCTCTGTGGCTGTCTCTGAGTCTGCATCGGCACAGTAGACACTGGGAAGACGCAAAAGGAAGTCTTCAACAGCAACAGGCGATGGCTTCAGTTTGCTGTTTGCTGCTGCACGTGCTCCTGCATGTGCTGCAAAGCGCTGCTCTCTCTTCTGCTGCTGCTGCTGCTGCTGCTGCGAAGGCCTCCCTGTCGGCGTGCTGCAGTACGTGGGGGGCCCCTCCAGCCCGTCAGCGTCTGTTGCTGCTGCGGCCTTCGGCTCAGAGCTAGAAGGCCCACGTTTAGCAGCGGGGTCTACAGACACCGCAGCAGCATTCGCCATCGCCGTCTCGAGCAGTTCCGTTGCTGCTGCTGCTGCTGCTGCTGCTGTTGCCCGCCCTGGGGGGGCCAACTGGCGAGATGAGGCAGCCGCTCATTGGGGGGGCCCTCCTCCACGAGCGGCCCCAAAAGTGTACAGGGAGCCGCAAAAGGGATGAAGAGGGGGGAAGACAAGAGCAGCAACTGCAGCAGCTACTGCTGCTTTATCAGCCGTTGCAGCTGCAGGCGCTGGCAAGTCGAAATGAAACGCGCCCCTCAGCCCCAGGATGCCGTGCGCAGTTATGCTTTAGATAAAGAAGATGATAAATAAACTAAATGCTGAGAAGCGAAGGCGGCGAGACGCGCTGTAGTCTGTGCAGGCGAGCGGAACCGCGCCGGGCGCTTACTCCCGGGTGTATGGGGAGGCAGGTGTTTGTACACGACGAAACAAATTGTTATTTTTAAAAATTAATATTCTTAGACAATTAAAAAAGGAATTTAAAACAAAAAACCAGCGAGCGCCGCCGCCTCGGAGTGCCGACGACGCATGCAGCGCCCAACTGCCAACAGCTGTTTGCCCGAGCATTCGCATGCTACAGGACAGTGGAGAAGAAGAGTATTTTTTTAGTTTGTTTGAAATATTTTTGTTTTTATGACAAATTATAAACATATTTCGGCTCTAAATGGGTTTTCTCTCCTTGCTTCCGCTTGGATTCAGGCAAACCCGCCTCAAGACCAGTTGCTAACGAACTTGCATGGGCTGAGCTGTGGTGTCTGTACAGCTCTTCTTTGAGTTACGTTTTTCCTAGGGCGGCTTGCAGCAGATGTCATTTGTTTCTTTTAATGAAATGGCAAAGTGGAAGGATAATTTTATGCGAGTTGTTTCCTCCCTGATCCGACACTAACAAAGTGCTATTCAGGTGGAACGTAAACACTGGCGCAGTGGCGGCAATGAACAGAAATATTTGCATGATATTGCCTTTGACATTGAATTAACAAACATGAAAACATAAATTGAACTAACAGCTCTAAGAACATAGGTTGAGTTCTTAATTCTGAGAAGATATGTTGAAACAGCATTCCCAGGAGAGTCTCCTATCTTAATTCGGGACCGTCGCTAGCTGCAGTCGAGCCGAGAAAAAGGATCGGCGTCAACGGTTCCTAAAAGGCAGCTGAGATCTTCTCCCTACCCCAGGCATTCTGGGCACAGTGGCCCAAGGGCCTAGTTCCCGGGGAGAGTAGGCGTCCCAACACGAGTTGCAGCACGTCGTATTCCAACTACTGTTGCAGGGCCCCTTCGCATGCAAGCACAGTCAAATCCCCTTCTATTGTCTCCCTTAGCATTGTAGTCAATTGCCGTAGCTACGGTTGAGCGCGGGCTACCCAATATGGCCAAGTAGGTGGTCGTGTACCAACAGTGACAGAGCTGAGTACATCTGCCCCCACAGTCTCCAGCGAACAGCGCACCTCCTCTTGTGCTTCGCTGCCCTTACATGTTGTTTCATTTCTTTCTTGACTTGTCCCTTCTCATGCTCATCCGAACCCTCCTCAAACTACAGAGATAACTCTTCACGCCGTTGTCTCCCAATGCAGCCTGTGCCTGGGGCTTCATTACGCATTCTCCGCTAGCTGTCCGGAGGAAGTCCCCGTTGAGACGCACGCAGAAGGATTTCGTTGGTGTAAAACATCTTTAGCTGTTGCACCGCGAAGTCATCAATCTCTCTGCCATGAATAGTACCTCATACCCCCTTTTAGCCAGCTTCTGGCGCAAGGAGCAAGTTCGCTCACGGCTGCCGCGAGTCCCGAGGAATGTGCTGAATATCATTATGCCCCTCTTTGATCCCGTCCAGCATATCTTGAAGGGGTTCCTTCTTACGAGTTTAACGTTTTGGCGTTTCTGTAAGCTTTCTCTTGGGAAGTTGGAATGAGGCTCCTAAGTGCACTTGGATGGAACTGAAGTTTTTTCGCCGTTTCATCGGCTTTTGTTCCTTTTGTTCACTTGATCTTTTGCCTTTTCTGTTTT